ACTTGCCATACTGAATCAAATGTTGCTTCCACGTCAGAAATCTCTACTGCGTTAGGAATCCCTCAATAACTCGCGTTTTATAAAGAGCGAGTTTTCTACCACGTCAGGAATCTCTGCAAAACTCGCGGTTTTCACAGCACGAGATTACCCCACTATAAATAAATATCCCCCTTCCACTGATATTGTAAAATTTAACACGGTCTATGCTTATAAGAGGCTTTTCTTCTTGTGGCACAACTTGACACTAAACTTATGTCAATATTGGTGCTATAAGTTATGCCACCCGAATAGAATGTCTTTTATAAAAGACATGGTCTTCTTGAAAAAAAAATGCTTGTTTCATAAATTCTGTCTTTTTTGTCAAACCAACAATGTTTATAAAAGACATTCTCTTCGGGTGCCCTCCTTTTCAACTTGTCTTTTATACGGTATATTTGTAAAATCGATTAAACATGAGTAACCCGACCTTCTTGGGAAACTCTACGAAGGCATACTCTTCTAGTGGCATCCTTTACGACTTTTCTCGCTTGAGACACTGATATGACCTTCACTCGTCTTCTTAGCTTTTTGCCTTGCATTTACTACGGAGGGCTTCTCGGGAAACTTCTTGTTCCATCAAACCCCGACCTTCTCAGAAAACTAATCGTTTCTAATTAGAAGACATTCTCTTTAGGTGGCATCCTCTACTTAAGCATCAAACCCACATATGACATACCTCTACTCGTTCCCTCAAACCTATTGTGTTTTTTCATTGTACTACTTTTGTTTCGAACAATTTTAAACATGATTATTACACGACATGTGGCAGACCAGTGGAGCTTGGGGCAGAATCAACCAAGACGATGCCGTCGAAGCCATGCTTCGCTACACTGACGCCGGTCTCTCCACCTTCGACATGGCCGACCATTGTACGCTCATTTTTCGTATACGTGGCATCATTTCATTGGTTTGTTTTATTAATTTTTCTGACCACACAACCAAGATAGCGTCTTAAAATCCACGCGTCACCTTGTTTCATTTGCCACGTTGCTATTATTCTCGTTTAACATTTGGCTGACGAAAATGCCATTATCGAATTTTTTTTATTGTGGAAAAAAACGTAGTAGTAAAACAATAATATTCGAGAACCATTTGAATGGCGGAATTCTTACAGAGTTCGTTAAGCAGCTTCACATTGAATTCAGTTAAATGGGGAACAAAAAAACTGGTATAATCCAGTAAGAAAGTTGAACCCAAACCAAATTCAGTGCGTCGTTACTGAAGATAACAAAAGGAGCATAGTTAAGAATGGGAAGGATTCGTTGGAAATATGTAAAGTCGTGAATGGGATGTGGCAAACAAGTAGGGGATGAGGTAGAATTGATCGAAACAATGCTGTTGATGCAATGTTTCGGTATGCCGATGCTGGACTGACCACTTTTGATATGGCTGATATATGTAATCCTCTCATTGCTTTTTACTCTTGTTGCAAATGAATGCCCTACTTTGAAATTATGAATGGGTGCCTGTGTGTGTTGAATGCATTTGTTGCGTCTGATTTGGTTAAGTAAAAAGTTTATAATCTGGAAATTATTGTTTGAGAAACTAGGATACCGGAGTTGGTTATGGTAAAGCTCTTTGAATTAGTCCAGACAAGTGTCGTTGATTGAGGACTATTCCTCTCTAAGTATTTGAAGCGTATAAAAGGTCTATGTGTGAATTTTCAGTAAGTGAAGTTTCTTACCGTGTGTTACAGTTTATGTGAGTTATCTTGGTCACTGGATGGGATATATATAGTTAGTTGATAGAGGGCCACTCTAAATATTTGAAACGTATAAGAGGTCTCTGTGAAATTTTCTGTAAGTGAAGTTTCGTACATTGTGTTTCAATTTATGAGTTGTCTTGGAAATTAGATATCGTGCGTGGGTATTCTTTCATTGCTAGGCTTCTCTGGTATCGCAGATGGACCTGCAGAAGATCTTTATGGCATCTTTATCAATAGAGTTCGTGGAGAGCGTCCACCAGAATACTAGGAAAAAGTTAGAGGGTGAGTTGTAACTTGTAGCCATATCTTGCTCAACATTCATGTTCTTTAGCTAGATTTTGGTTAAGATCAGCTTTCTTGGACACTACACTAGTTTACTCTGTGCATTGTACTTTGGAGGTTATTTAGTTTACCTTTCATAAACTATTGTTTATAAACCCAAAATGGTTGGGAAGAGTAATTTTTGGGTTATGTTTACTCTGTTGTATTATTCATGCAGTCTCACTAAATGGGTGCCACCACCAGTAAAGATGACAAGTAGCTATATCAGGGAGAGCATTGATGCATCACGAAAGAGGATGGATGTGCCTTCATTGGACATGCTTCAGTTTCACTGGTACTAATAAGTATATGTCACACTTTCTGTCCACTTAGAACAATTATCTATAGAAATTTGAGACCTTCCATTAAAACCCGATTCAATGATGCAAATTTACTCTTAGTTTCATGGAGAATTATACTACAGTTATTACTACTTAGTTTCATGAAGATTTAATTTTTTATTTTGTTTGCTTTGATTCGTAATGACATTAGTTAAAAGGTCATCGTCTTTGTTAAATAATATATAATTCAGCGGCATTCGAATGATGTTTGTTTAATACATCACTTTGAGTCTTGAGGATTTTTTTATCCATTGGATAAGTATACTCAACAGAATATGACTACCTTGTTAGGTTTAGGTGTATGCTGGATAAGATGGCATTGTTTGAAATTTCATTCATGGATTGACTTAATTTTAATTTCGTTAATTTCTTTGCTACATACTATTTCTTTGCAACTATTTGAAACAGGTGGGATTATTCCAGTCCCGGCTACCTTGATGCACTAATACACCTCACTGACCTGAAAGAAGAAGGTTGGAATTCATTCTCCACTATTTTAGCTTTGATTTTGGATGCGATAGCCTGCAATTCTCAGTTTAATGTTTAATCAAAATGCTTCTCTGATCAATGTGCAGGTAAAATTAGAACCGTTGCTTTGACAAGTTTTGATACGGAAAGGCTGCAAATAATACTAGAGAATCGAATTCCTGTTGTTAGCAATCAGGTTTTTATTACTCTTCAACAAGTTATCAGGTGTTAGTTATCTCTTTTATTGGCTAGTTTATGTTTTTGGCATTGCCAATGATGCATCATCAGGTGCAACATTCAATTGTTGACATGCCTCAGCAAAAAATGGCAGAGTTTTGTCAGCTTACAGGCGTCAAACTGATAACGTCTCTCTCTCTCTCTCTCTCTCTCTCTCTGTATATATATATATATATATATCCACACGATACCCCAAAAACACATCTTGTCAACTTTTAGCTCAGGCATTGTGGATATTGTTCTCTAAATAGATAGAACGAGCAAACCAGGAAAAAAGTTCCAATGAGAAATAACGAATTTGAGGCCAAATATCTTGCGAACTCTAACTTTGTGTTTATTTATCTATATTAGATGACTAGGCAGTGCTCTGCCTTAATAGCAAAATTGATGAGAATTTCAAATGCAGGTATGGAACGGTAATGGGTGGTCTATTATCTGAGAAGTTCCTTGAAGTACAAAAGGGTACAAACTTTTTTGGCATATTTTTGCTGTTCTGTATTCTATATTGAATTTCTCAATCTTAAACTCAATGAAACGACACCGAATTAGAAATTGTGAAATGTTGTTAACCCATTTTCAAATTAGGAATCTGCCTAGAAACACCTAAAAATATGGATTATAAAACAAATTCAACAAGTTGTGAAAACTTGTGGGAAAAAAATCCTTAAATGTTGAACACACACACATATAATTTTACCTTTTGTTTGTGGTATTTTAATATATCAATGAGTATGGCAGATGGTTGATGCTTGGGGAGGATGGAGCTAATTCCAAATGTTACTTCAGACTCTAAAAAAAGTAGCATCTAAACATGGAGTCTCAATCCCAACTGTTGCTGTTAAATACATACTAGATCAGGTAATTAATTACATAGAAGTTATTTATTTATTTAAGGATTGTTGAGTATGATGCATTGAAACGTAATGGGGTTTTTGCTCGATTTACTGGAATGTTATGACAGACAGCAGTAGCAGGATCAATGGTAGGTGTTAGACTTGGTTTATCAGAACATATCCAAGACACAAATGCCATATTTTCACTTGTTCTTGCCGAGGAAGATGTGAGCAGCATACTAGAAGTTTCAAAAAGAGGGAAAGATCTGCTTAGAGTGATAGGGGATTGTGGAGACGAGTACAGGCGCGCATGAGATTAATTTCAATCATATCTTGGTGTCTGCCAGAATAACATATGCAGGATTATCTGGTTGTACCATGTTGATGATGTTATTTTTCGTGTCTAAGATATAACTTTCATATGAATCGACATATTTGTGGTATAAGAGATTTTGATGTTATCCATGTCTTGTTTGTCTGAAACTATTAGGTATGGTCATTACTTCAAGCTAGGAAAGCATGGTCATTCTGGAACGGTCTGCAAAATTTCATTTATAGAAAGAACATTGAACCTTATGATACATGCATGATACATTTCATTTCATATACATATTCGATCTCTGAAGGTCTCGCCGGTCCTGCAATTGGTTATCTCCGCCATTCAATTTGTGCGGTAGTGTTTTGGATTTCTCAAGTAACATGTTACGAGTTAGTAAGTAAAAAAGGGACTATTTTTTATTATTATTTCAATAGAAGTCTTCTGCCTTAAAAAGAAAAAGAAAAAGAAAAGTTTTTACCAAAAAAAGATCTCAGGCAGTCGAAGCTCAAGGGGGAAGGAGGGAGGGATAAAGCGTTTTCCCGCGCTTTTCTTATGTGAAAATAAATGACCCGAATGGCCTTGATTTATGGGCTTCGACCCATTTTTCTATTTAGGGCATCTTGTCCCTTTGACTTTGGGCATTTTTCCTCGATAGGAAAAACTAATAATTTAAAATGAACGGTCATGATTGAAATTAGACGGACATCGACAAAAGCAAAAACCCTAGCAACATCGCCATTTATACTATATCTTCATTTCTTTTCCTTCGAAAACCCTATAGTTCTTTCCCCACGGCTCCTTTTTCCCTTCTGGCTCTAAGGTTTTCTTGGTCGAGTAGATAATGAAGGTGATCGCAGCCTACTTGCTTGCCGTCTTGGGAGGGAACCTTTCCCCTTCTGCCGGTGATCTGAAGGATATTATCGGATCTGGGGGTTTTCTCACTCTCTTGTTATCTCGATTTACTATAGTCACTTAGTTGATCTATGCTTAATTCAGCTATGATTTGTTAGTGGTTGTTCTAATGCGTTCATTGGATTTTAATTGAATTTAGTCGAATCTACATATCGATATTTTGTTTTTCATTATATCTAGTTATAGTAATTGCAAATGGTAAGTATTAGCATAATGGTACTAGACTACTAGCCACTAGGGAGGTATTAAAATTCTAATGAAATTCATGCCAATTTATACCTTTTTTATTTGTGAATCCAAATTCTGAAAAGCAAACGAGCATTCAGGCAGGAATGACTTACTTTTTCTTTTATTATGTAAGTCGTAGTTGGAGCTGAGGCTGATGATGATAGGATAGAGTTGCTATTGTCCCAAGTCAAAGGCAAAGATATCACCGAGCTAATTGCATCTGGAAGGGAGAAGTTGGCTTCAGTTCCTTCAGGTGGCGGTGCTGCCGCTGTCGCTGCACCCACATCTGGTGGTGCTGGCGGCGGTGCTGCACCGGCTGCCGAGGCCAATAAAGAAGAGAAGGTCGAAGAGAAGGAAGGGTCCGATGATGTAATGATTGTCTTACTCCAAAATCTACTACTAGTATTTGACTTCTTTATTCACGTGTTCTTGACTAACATAAGTTCCTTTTTGAAACTTGATACAGGATATGGGTTTCAGCCTCTTCGATTAAGCTTCTATTATGCAGTTTCTTTTATTTTAATTGGTATATGGTTTAGTATGTTTGTTACTCTTGTTGGACACTGTTCTTTCATCTTCATTTATGTTTTGAGTTTTCTTTGGAGCATGCAGTTGTTTCAGTTGCAATTTCGAATTTTTCAATTAAACCAGATTATGATTTATGGTTTATGGGTTGGGTGTGGATGTGATGTACGGAATTGTGATAAATTTTAAAATATTATGATTTAATTTGTTTGATTTTAAAATAGGCAAAAATTTAAGAGTATTTAAAGTGAAAAATGATAAGTCATGAGTAAATTTATAAATTAGGTATAATATATGTTTTCCCATGCAGTTCACCTAAACCCTCAGTCTAGCTCCTGTACATTTTTTCTCATTTTCCTCGTACTAACATTCTTTCTATCAGTTCATCCCATCACCATTAAATTAAAAAAAAAGTATGATCAAAGCTGTAGAAATAACTTAGAACGGTTCATTAAATAACATTTAATATTAAGATTGTACTTCAATTTTATAGATCATCAATTAATCACTGTAAAACGCCCTATTTAATTTTGTTTTCTTCATTTTTACGTATAAAATCTGGTTTTAGGTCCATCAATTAATGAATCAGTTTGAAAAGAGGTTAGAGAAAGTATCATTTGCCTTGATTTGGATATATATATATTCGAATTTTCTTTGCTTTCAATTGTTTGGGAAATTGTTTTTTCTGTTGGTTTTTCTTCGTTTTTCTCTTTCATGTTTGATGTTTGGAGCTGTTAGTGTGATTAGTTTATCTAAGTTATTGCTTCATTTTTTAATGTTTTTATTTATCAGACTATCAATAAGCGATCATTGTTATATTTTATTTATGATAATTACAACTGTATTTATTCATTTTGTAACTGACAAGACATATATTGATACGATTTTCGATAAATAAAATATACTGATTATTTTCAAAAAAAAATTATTATAATTAAACTTTGACCGATCCAACTAATTAATCATTGCAAAGTATAATTTGCCTTCAATCTTAAATGCTTCTTGTGGAGCATCAACTCTCGCTATTTTCCCACTCCCTTCTAACTTTTATAATTAAATTTTATTCATGAACCTTTAGAAGAGGGGGGGGGGGGGAATTACACTTTGAAAAGTGTCTCGGGGAATTACAAATGTCAAAACTAGTTGGTTTTTTAGTCGCGGCGCTAAATAGAATCTAATGAGGATGTTTATCTTTTTTATCCAAAAAAATGTTTTTGAATGGTAAAAGTGTAAATACAAAAGATGCCGAGCATACAATAATAGAAAAGTGTTTATCATATCATAAAAAAAAAGAAAAATAATCTCATTGATCAAAAATGCTTTATAATATACGATTTTAACCAAATTTTTTTGGATTTGCCAAAATGACCAACTAAATCGCAATGCGATCGATAATTCACAACGCGATCTACGGTATCGCAAATCAGTTTCCAGATTCTCAACGCGAACTTCGACTATCGCATTGCGATTTACATATTCGCATTGCGATTTACATATTCGCATTGCGATAGTCCAAGTTCGCGTTGCGATTTATTCCAAGTTCGTTGCGATAGTCGAAGTTCGCGTTGCGATTTATTCCAATTTCGTTGCGATAGTCGAAGTTCGCGTTGCGATTTATTCCAAGTTCGTTGCGATAGTCTAAAATCGCAACGACGGTATTGCATTTGTTTCTTAAGAATTTTCTCTAAAAAAATAGTATTCGCGCAAATGTGTCGAAGACACGTATTACCACGACAACGACCACGAGATGAGACGGACGGCTTGGCTTTCCCACATAGTATTGGAAACACTATTGGGAATGGTATTTAAGGCTTGGCTTTCCCACTTCCTTGTTGAGTGATAGAGAACAAGGGGGACTCTCGCGCGCCGCCGCCGTCGCCGTCCATCTCGGGTCGGGTCGTGGTCGTGGTAATACGTGTCTTTGACACGTCCGCAATTCTTAAGAAACAAATGCAATACCACCAGTTGTTGCGATTTACATATTCGCATTGCGATAGTCCAAGTTCACGTTGCGAATCTGGAAACTGATTTGCGATACCGGAGATCGCGTTGCGAATTATCGATCGCATTGTGATTTAGTTGGTCATTTTGACAAATCCAAAAAAAATTGGTTAAAATCGTATATTATAAAGTATTTTTGGTCAATGAAGTTATTTTATCTAAAAAAAAATTATTATTTTTTTTAAAAAAATTACTTAAACATTTGAATAATATGAGATGTACAGAAAAGGTTAGAAAATGTACTGAAGCTTTGTTGAGAAGAAATGCACAGAATGGGAGTTAGATTGATTTTGCATATTTACGTGGGTCTTGTCTATTTGTGGGCAACATCTGCTGAACCCAAGTGCATGCCCCGCATATAACGTATCTGCTACTACGTTTCGGATTCCATGCATAAATGTTCTTTTGTTTTCTTCTTATATAATTTGTTTGTTGTAAAATGGGGAATTTCAGTCACCGTTTTCCATTTTCACCATAATTATTCATTATTTTGTTTTGTGAGCGGAAAATAATGGAATATTGTATTGAAAAATGAAATTAGAAAACAAGAGTCATGAAAAATATTTTAAAAAATAGGATGAATTCTATTGTGATTGATAAAGTTATCAACATAGTAATGTAATTTTTCATTTTTTGTTTTTTTAATAATCTAATATAATTATAAGACAATTTTTCTCGTTCATTGATAAAATATATCTGGTAGAAGTAACTGTTTAAATTCGGAATCTAAAAAGAAAATCTGGTTAGGCACTTAATAAATTTCATTATTACCTTAATTAATGATCCATCGTCCTCGAATCTTTAATTTTATTTTCAACATTAATTTTAAAAATATTATTAAGCTCGAAAGAACAATGCAGAAAGTAAGTTAAAATATTATTTTATTTTATTTTTTTATTTATCAGAACACATTTAATTTTCAGCAATTACAAGTTCACCAAAAAAAAAAAAAAGCAATTGTGAGTGAACAAGGTGAAACTTCTCGTGAGTTGCATTTCTCACCTTTGCCTTCCTTTTCCCCCTCTCTCTATCTTCATTCGTTCAATTCACAATTTTCTTTTCCTCTTTTTCCCTCCTTTTGTCCCAGCCCTAATTATACTCTTTCTCTTTCTCTAGGTGCCCAAAGTTTTGGTCTTTCATTATTTTTCTTGTTTGGCATCTTCAAAGGCAACCCTTGTCAGGGTTTACACGTTTTTCCTCAGTTTCATAGGTACCCCTTTGATAATTTTCTCTTTATCTACTTTGGGTTTTTCGGGTTTTAACTCTTGCCAAGCTTTACTTTTTTTTTTGGTTCAAATTCTTCTTCCATGAAAAATATATATGTACTTACAAGAGTTTTATATATTTTTCTACTGCTCCCGCCAGTTTTTGAGAGGTAAAGTTATTCGATTCTTTAATGCTATGCTTTTTTGGATTTGAAAGCTTAACCTTTTATGCTGCTTTTAGGTGTGAAAATTGGTTGTTTTCTTTAATCCAAAAGCCCTGATATGGGTTTGGGATTTCAGTTGAAACTCAATGCTCAAAGCTTGTAACAAATAGGGCTTTCAATAAAACTCTAATATAGCCTTTAGTCTTTAAGTCGGTTGTTGTATGTAGCTGATAGGCTGATTAGCTTTATCGTGCTTTAGGGTTTCGGCAGCCTTAAGCTTCCTTGATTTCGAAAATGAAGGGTGGGAAAAGGAACCCTGAGTAGTTATGGCAATTTATTTGATGAACTTGTAGATGCTTGCTGATTAATTACTCACGCCCTTTCATGGAATTGTGCAGGATCGTTCTACTTCAATGATCGGTTACTTTATTTTATTTATGGCTTCTATTTCTCTCAAACTTTGTGATACATTCTGGAATTTGAATACTATGTTTTGAAATTAAAAAGTGGGTCTTCGATTGGCTATATACACCCGAGAACCATTATGATCCAATGTTCTCCTCAGGAATCAGTGAGGTTGTTTTATTGCTCAGTTCTACTCATTCTTTGAGATTCAGATACTTATTCAGAAATATGTTAGATTAAGTTTGCAGATTAAATAGTTCCCCTGATTTCTTGTTGTAGTCTTTGAGTTGAATTTTAGAAAAGATGGATGTAGGGCCTAGTACGTCTGAAATTGTTGAATCGACTGATGAAATAGATGCTGAATTGAAAATGGGAGAACCTGGTAAGAGCTACAATATGCGAAAATCAGTAAATAACTATTCCATTGAGGATGACATTAACCGTCTGTTTGAAGCAGTCAATGTTAGGACATCGTCTAAGGTTTCTGGTTTCTCAAGGGAAATTGGTAGAGATGCTTTATGGAAGCGAGCAATGAAAAGACCAGTTAGAGTTGGTCCTTCTCATGCTTCGGGAATTGGAATTTCTGAACCTGTGAGCTTGAAGCAGGCACTTAGAGGATTGTCTATCTCTCAGGCATCAGAGATGGCTGCTATGAAGAAGCGGTCATCAAAACCAGCAGGTTCTTCAGGAGTCTCGGAAGCAGGAATTATAAGAAGGTTGTATGGGGCTGTTGTAGTTGAAGAAAATGGATCTGGAGTTCCCCTAAATGAAGGTAAAGAGAATTTAGTGGAAATCTCACTTGTTCCTGAAAAGATCACATCCAATTCTTTGGAACAGATGCATGAATCTTTGCAAGTGTCTAACAAGAAGGTTTTAAACCAAGATTCAAGCCCTTCAGATAATGCAACAACAGAAAAGGCATCCACTAGGTTTCTGGCTGCAGATCGGATTGTTCATTTGGCCATGGAGTCTAAAAATGAAGTTTCAGAAGCAGAACTTAAAAGGCTAAATTCTATAGGTTCTTCCACTGTTAATCATGCTGCTGAGGAAGCCATGGAAACTGGTTGTTCCTCTATCCCAATTTGTGTTGAAACTCCTTTGCCAGAAAAGGAGCCAAAGGGAAAGTTGCTTGCTGAATCTTCTTCTCCTTCTGTTTCTAGTGCTGCTGGTAAGGTGAAGTCTGTTTGTGAAAATCGGCGTCTAATCAAGCCAGTCTTGAGGAACAAAAGCTTTATGAGGAAGAAAGCAAAAGAGGAGTCAACTACCACTAGCAGCAGTTCGAATTCCTGTAATGTTTGTTTCAGCAATGATCTCAGTCCTGGTACTAGTTATTCAGATAACCAAATAGAGAAGCCTTCGGGATATGGAAGGAAGGAAAATATGAAAGCTTCTCAAGTTTCCAACAGTACAAGTTGCAGCATTGAAGTTAACTCAAACGTGGTGAGTACAAATTTCAAACCGATTTCGAGTTCAAACTGTAGCAACAAATCCAGACCATTGTTGATAGAAGCTGATGACAGATCAAGATCAAGGGAAAAGGGAGAATTTTCCCAAAGCTCGAAAAGTAGCATTGGGGAGTATAGTAGTAGCACAATCACTAGTGAAGAAAGTAATATCAATGATTCTAGTCAGATTGGTAGCAGACCTCACATGTCAAAAAGTTTGAGGTGGAAAGCTCTTTGCTCTGTCCGGAAGCAGCATGGAAGCTTGAGTTTGAAGCACTTCAAGCTTCTCAAGAAGTTGGGTTGCGGGGACATTGGCACTATTTATCTTGCTGAGCTAACTGATACAAACTGCTTATTTGCTTTGAAAGTGATGAACAATGAATTTTTGTTGAGCCACAAGAAGATTCCTAGGGCACAAACAGAAAAGGAGATAATGCAAATGCTGGATCATCCTTTTCTCCCCACACTATATGCCTATTTTGCAACAGAACAGCTTTCTTGCTTGGTTATGGAGTATTGTCCAGGTGGTGATTTGCACGTGTTACGACAGAAGCAACCTGGCAGGAGTTTCTCTGAACAATCAGTAAGGTAACACGTATCTCTTCAATGATGTTGGAATATGCTTCTAGTTTGTGCTGACAGGAACCTTTAGTGTTCAATTCATTGTACACTTCTTAATTTTTTTCTGTTTCTGATTATGCACCAACAGAGCGTACAAGAAAATAGGGAAGAGAAAATGATGTCCCCTTTTTTTGTGTGAAAGATCTAAGCATTTTGTTTCTCATTTTTTTGTGTCATTTAGTCGTTGCTAATTTCAACTTAAAGTAAAAAAGGAAATGTAAAGAAGACAAAAAAGGCAGTTCTCATCATGAAAACTCATGCACCTCGGAACAGGATTGAAATTTTCCACAGATTTTAATTTGAAACTTACAGGGAGTAAATCTGATTTCCGTGCATTTGGTTTTGGTAATCCTCACAAGAGCATACAAGTGATGGAGTTTAAAGTCAAATTCATACACCAGATATACGAGGTTTTATAATAATTAAGATTGTTAGAATTAGATTTGAATTAACATTATTATGGTTCATCCACGGTTTTCTTGTTGCCCCGGTTTTCTGATGTTCTTTTTCCTATATTTTCTTTTCATTTATGCAGGTTTTACGGTGTCGAAGTCCTCCTTGCGTTGGAGTACCTACACATGTTTGGCGTTGTATATCGAGATCTAAAACCAGAAAATATCTTGATTAGAGAAGACGGTCACATTATGCTCACAGATTTTGACTTGTCACTCAGATGTGATGCTAGTCCAGTGGTTCTTAAATCCACTTCCTCCGTTGCTGGGCCCGCAGAGAAGATGTCAAGTCCATGCTCTGTGTCCAGCTGTATTGAGCCTTTCTGCCTCAATCCATCCTTTCAAGTACCATGCTTCACTCCTAGGCTTCTATCTCTTTCTTCCAAATCAAGGAGAATAAAATCCGATCTAGCTACTCAGATTAACCCCATGCCACAGCTTGTAGTGGAGCCAACCAGTGCCCGGTCAAACTCATTTGTTGGAACACACGAATACCTTGCTCCAGAAATCGTCAAAGGTGAAGGTCATGGGAATGCTGTTGATTGGTGGACATTTGGAATCTTTCTGTTTGAGCTTTTGTACGGCAAAACGCCCTTCAAAGGTTCGGGAAATGATGAAACACTATCCAATGTGGTGTCCCATAGCCTTAAGTTTCCAAGCAGCCCTATAGTTAGTTTTCATGCAAGAGATCTGATACGAGGGCTTTTAGTTAAGGAGCCTGAGAACCGGTTAGGATCAGTGAAAGGAGCTGCGGAGATCAAACAACACCCTTTCTTTGAAGGCATAAATTGGGCTCTGATACGTTGCGCAATACCACCTGAGATGCCAAGGGTCTGTGAAACTGGCATTGGTGTGCCGTCCCCAGCTTTGCAGAAAAAAGACAGCTCCAAAGGTGATAAATTGCAGGGCTCCGAAGTCCATATGGAGTTTGATATATTTTAGCTAGGGCTTATCTGATGCGAGAAAAGGAAGCTCTTTTCTGGCTTCTCTTTTTAACTGAGTTTTCTTATTCTGGTGTTAATATATATACGCACCCACACTGTAAATCGAATTCAGAAAAATGGTGGCAAGTTTTTACTATGATATATATATACTAGAGCCAGTTGTCTTAAAAAAGTACAATAATCATCCAAGTTCGCAATTTATAACCTTGGTAGAGTCATTCAATTATTAGGTTCTGTAGTTTTATTATGGCATTTCGTTGATTTTGTTCTATGCTTCTGTAATTTTAATAGTATACGACTCTCTTACGGAAACCAAAACGCTTCATCGTCAACCACTTTAGACAGTGCTCTAAACTCTAAAGCGAATACTTTTCCTTTATCTGACGAAGGGGATCCAGACCTCTGGTGCATCTGAAAGATGAGGTTACCAAAAATCTAATATGAAAGCTAATTCTTCGCTTTGAGATTGAGAATGTAGTGATGTACAGTGAAGATTGAAGGGATTAAGCCACTAACCCACCCAGCCCATTTCAGAAAGTCCAAATCCATTACCAGCCCATTGTCCCATTCAACTGCCTTTTTTCTACATCCAATCCAATCCGGTTTTTCCACCAAAGGCCTGTTTGCTTGCTTCCGGCATCTCCACATTTGCAGGCGCTAGGAGGCCACCACATATGAACAATACCACAACCAGATTGCCATCATCAGCAACCGCTCCATATTTACCATTTTGCCACCACTCCCATTTCCTTTCTTCCAATACCTCATCTTTCAGTCCTCTCTTTCATTCAACCAAATACCCATCTCTCCAAAACCCAAAATCACCCCCATATCCCCTCCAAAAACCCACCGATTCTCCTGCTTTTAGGCCGCTGGAGAGAGCATCAATGGCATCTTCAGCACCATCAGCAGGTGCAGCCACAGAGACGAAGCCTTTCTCTGTTCTTTTTGTTTGCTTAGGCAACATATGTCGGAGTCCAGCTGCTAGGTAACATATGCCGGAGTCCAGCTGCTGAAGGTGTCTTCAGAGATATTGTGAAAAAGAAAGGCCTCGACTCCAAGTTTAAAATTGACTCTGCCGGCACCATTAATTACCATGAGGTAAACAAATACCCCACTTCAAAAGTGCTAGAAACGTTATTTTTTAACTGAGATTTTACACTTTTGTATGGCAAAGCATCTTATTGGTTTTTTGTTCATGATTTTGGTAATCGAACGAGTATGAGTTAATATCGGAGCTTCCTGTTATACCAAATACGTTAAAGGATAAACAATTATTTCTTCTAGGATTCCAAGCAATGTGACTGATAAGATCGTAAACCTTTTTCTTTAACCTTTTAGTCGTTTGATTCGAAGATCCCGATGGGTTGCAGTGAAGAGAAAAAAATCTAAAAGAGAGAGAAATTAATTGTTTTGTTATTGTGAAGGGAAACCTGGCAGACCCAAGAATGAGGGCAGCCTCAAAAAGGTTTGGCATTGAGATAACATCTATTTCAAGGCCAATCCGGCCATCTGATTTTAGTGATTTTGACCTTATTCTTGCAATGGACAAGCAAAATAGAGGTACCGCTCTTTGATTGGCTGTTTAATTTAGCCTTTGTTAACTCTCATTCTATGAGTTAAAATTTTAAATTGAATTTTTTGGCGTGTTCTCACTTTTGATTGCTCATTTTCACTTGTGTAGTGTTAGTCATAAGTGTATTAATAGTTGCTCTTATTTGCATGCAGAGGATATATTAAAGGCTTTCGATAAGTGGAAATCCAGAGACAAACTTCCCGCTGATGCATATAAAATGGTTAGTGGAATGTTAAGAGTGGAGACTGTCGGTCAATTATGGATGGCTTTTCCATTCAGATATTTGTACTGGTTATGCAGGTTAGACTGATGTGCTCCTATTGTAAGAAACACGACGAGACTGAAGTCCCGGATCCATACTATGGTGGACCGCAAGGTTTCGAGAAGGTAATGTATCGTTTTTCAAGGTAGATTGTAAACATTAGCATGGGAACCATTTCATGATGTTTTCTCTTTGCATATTTTGGAGCCTGGGGAATATTTCATTGACTTTTAAAAAAGTGAGCTTTTTAGGTCATTAGATCTTTGTGGTTTTTGAGAGAAGGAAGAAGCATTTAGATATGGTTGGGGGTGGGGTGATCTGAAAAGAAGAAAAAGGAGGAAGAATGAACAATTTAAGGGAGGAAACTGAAACTTCTGTTTAGGAAAGTCTATTCCCACTTTTTTGTTATTGTTATTGTTTTGTTTTGTTTTTCGGACTTAGGTTTCTTTTGCTAACTCACCTCTGCTAATAGGTTGAATTGCAGAGAAAGAAAAATAATTTTGGATGTTAGAAGAGAAAACCATTGTATCCTCATTTTCACCCACTTTCTCGTTTTCTACTTTCTTTTCTCGTTGCTCATACTTGAGAACGAGTGCCTGGGATGTTATTGTGATTCCCATGTTTCGATATCATTCTGCAATTTATGCAATATTCACATTCTGCATGGAACTGGCTAAGCTTATTATGTGTCTTGTTGCCAATTGATACAACAGGTTTTAGACTTACTCGAAGATGCTTGCGAATCATTACTGGACAACATCTTGGCTGAAAATGGCGGCACTCATAGTTCCTAAGTTCCTTTGAAACCCCAGTTATGTGTTCTAAGAGGAACTTCCATTGGCGTTTGCATGTATTTAACTGTTTTTTTTTGTGTAAAAGCAATATGTCCCTTGTTAAGTTCGGTCTTGAAATTACAATGACGATTGAGGAAATAATTTCTGTTGATATATTATGCTATAACTCACGTACCAGTTGTATTCCCTTTTCCATGTGATGAATCGGTTTAAAAGGCTACCGTTTGAAAGTAGAAGTTTTATGTTGCTAAAGATAATTTTACTAAGATCAAATGTCAAATAAATTTCCAATTTATTTTGAAAATTGGTGCATGAAATGCTTTATTGTGATAATGGAGATATTTTAAATGATCGAACGAACCTAAAATCAACAGTCTCGGTTAGTAGGTTCGATTCTGAGCCAACCTAATTGACCAACTCTTTCCCTGTGAAATGGTTTCCAGCATGAAGTTGTAAGGCAACATCACCAATAACCTGAAATTTGCAAAATGTGAGCAACAATCAGACTTGGAAATCCATATTACTTGCAAATCTGAAAGTGTCGAAAAGATGTGTACCTTAGCCATGGATATGCAAGAATGTTCAGTAATCCCAGAAACATGGGGTGTAAGTATAACATTGTTGAATTTCAGAATGGGGTCATCAGGGTCAAATGGTTCTGTCCATGCAACGTCCATTCCTAAGCCCCCTAACTGTCCAGATTCGAGATGGTGCACAACAGCCTCGTAGTCTAGTGGACCTCCTCGAGCAACATTCACCAAAAGGTCTCCCTGAAATCAAACTATTGTTAATATCAACATCCTCCGACTACTTTAAGTGCAACCATTTCATTAGAAAACTAAACACTGAAAGTTTACAGAAGAGAGAAGCCTTTGAAACAAACCTTTTCATTGAAGATATGAAGGACTCGTTCACTATGCCAACCTGAAAAATTGAAATATCTCAATTGTATGAAATACTTTTTGTAGCCTTAATATTTATTGGAAGGGAAAGAGAAGCCTTACTGTTTCTTTATACAAACTCAGGCAACAGACAACTGTGTCAGCATCGCTTGCAAACTCGTAAATGTCTCCATGAATGCCTTTCTTGTCAATCAAATCATCAATACTCGGAAAACCTGAATGAATGTTCAAGGCATAATGAATGAAAATGGAATTGCAACCGAGCTAACACTATTTACTTAATAAATCTTCTATACATTTTGGGGTAAAGAAGTTCCCAATTTGAGGGCCAGCTCCTTTTTGTAGCAATAACTTTAACACCAAATGGTTTCAAGCGCTTTGAAAATTCAATTCCAATATCTCCACATCCCAATATAAAGACCTAGGCATGCAGGTCTATTACGTGAATGAAAATTAAACTAAACATTTCATTTCCAGGAAATAGAAAAGGAAAGAAGAAAAAAAACGTTTCTTTTTGTTAGTAATTCATTTAGCTAGCCTGGTATAATCAAGATTATGAAGTTCAAGCACTTGCTCATCAACTATATTATTAGTGACGGTCACCGTGAAACGTGAAAGAGAAAGCAAAGGTCCAAATTTCAGGAACGGGATTTTCATGCGAGAATCTAAAAGTAATGTCGAAGCAAAGGGAAAACTGAAAAGATAAAGCAGAAACTGACCGTTTTACCCAGATGTGTGTCCCCGGTAGGCTCTTCAAGCGTCTTCTGCTTTACAGATATTAGCATCTCATTCTGCAACACCGCCACAAATTTAAGTATGGACGACAATACAGAAAATGGATGTTAAAGTTGAGGGTTACTACAAATACATGTATCAAAGAATATAGTGAACCATAAGAACATATTAAAGCGATGCAAGTCCTGGCTAATAAAATAAATAAACCTGTTTCCGAAGAAGACCCAACATTAAACATATAGCCATTTCAGCCCAAGATGCAGCATTTCCAGTAGCATCCCCAGGAATTCTGGCAACTTTTATCCCTTTCTTCGTAGCAGCATCGATATCAACGCCTTCATGCCCAAGTAAGAAAAACGAAAAAGTTAATGCAGTAATTGTAATGTGACAAAAGCTTTAAGCTACAGACTATTATAATATAAAAGAATAATTAAGGACCTTCTAGGCCAACACCAAACTGCATAATAAGCTTCATCTGTTTTGCACGAGCTATGACGTTTGAATCGAACCGCATGGTTTTTACAACACAGAGATCATAATTCCCAATATGATCAGGAACTTGCTCGAGGGGCAATTGATCAACCTACGAGAAGTTCAATAAAGAGAAGCTCAATGTGAAATGCAAAAGATTCAACTCATTTAGGAAAGGAAAAACAAGAAACATGGTTCGCTTCTGTTGGACAGTAGGTACAATTCTAAAGCCAAAAAGTAGATAAGCAGGAGAATTTGAGCGAAGTACTTGAATAAAAGGATACTTCTCCAAGTATTCTCTGGTATAATTTTGCGAGCCGGAAAGTGTATTCTCCAAGTATTCTCTGGTATAATTTTGCCAAGGATACTTCTATTCTATTGTAGGCCAACACCAAACTGCATTAGAAGCTTCATCTGTTTTGCACGAGCTCCGACTACTATAATATAAAAGAACTAGGACCTTCATTTAATATTGAGTGAACTACACGTTTAATACCCAACTATCACTTTTATTCTGTTTTTGTTACTCCACTATTCTTTTTTTTTTTCAAAATCATTCCTAACATTTATTTTTGATTTCATTTTGGTCATTTGTCGTTAAAAATTAATGGTGATACTTACATGCTATCATAAGATAATGTCACAACATCATTGAAAAATAAAAAAAAACGTTGAAACAATAGTTTTATTAATTTTTTAATATGTGGTGACCAAAATGAAACTAAACATAACGTTATGTATGATTTTGAAAAACAAAGAGCAACCAAAATGGAACAAAAATGATAGTCGAGATACTAAACATGCAAATTACCCTTTATTGGTGCAATTTAAGTTTGTTGAAAGATTAAGTATATAGATATGATTTCACCCACGTACATAACATAACCTTAATTTATATGATTATGGATTTTGAGAAATTATTAATTAGCAAAGACTGATTTAAAAGAAGTTCAAAATCATAATTTTTTGTTGATTGAATAATATTTTTTTATTGCTCGAAATCATTTGCACCTTCCAAAAACTTGCCATCAACTTGACTTCTCGGCCTCCGAACAAAATGATAGGAAAACATAAATGCCAATCTAAATTGGATATCACCATGGAGATTTTTCAAATAATAAAAATAGAAGATAAAAATGACTATACCAAACCTGCAAGGTTATTTGAATCAGAACATTATAATATGAAATTTATTGAATCAAAACATAAACGGTCTTAATGTTTAAAGGAAGTATTGTTATCTTTTGAAGTTCTGAATTTGAGCAGTTACGTTTATATGATGTGTGTTGATTATAAACAAATAATAATTGTAATCACCATAAACTATATACGCATTTCATATCGTAGCTATAATATAAATGGCAACAGAATCAAATTAAAATTTTATAAAGTTTAACTGTAAATAGAATGATAATTAACTTTTAAACACATAATACATGCCAGCTTGGACCACCATTTTTTTTTTCTTTTTCCAGTGGAATATCGCTTTCCTTTAAGTATCCTTTCCAAGATTCTTCATGTTTCCCTTCGCTGCTACTCAATTCTCTGACATGGTAATGGTTCAAGCTGATGGGCCCTCATCCCACGTGCTTATTGCCGGCTCACTTACTGTTTATTTATATACATTTTTACTTGTAACCTTTTGCCTACAATGAGTAACAATCTTGATGAAATTTGTCATATTTTTATCAACTTTTTGGTGCCATTATAAGAACTATTACGGCATGGACGATGTCGTTAAGATGGAATCATCGTGTAATTTTCGATTAATCACATGAATACGAACTTTGAAAATTAGGGGCATAGCCTTGTTGGGACAGGCAAGTATGGGTATGTCGGAATCGTGATATGGTAGGCTCAAAATTCCGGGGGGGGAACGAAGCAAAAGGCATGTGATATACATATCAATAATTGAAATTAAGATTATTGGGGAATTGACAGAAATGGCAGGAAGCCATAACACACATACAGAAAACATAGGGATGCAAGCGAAAGAGAGATTACGCATAACAAATACTTAAATTCCTAGGTAGCTTGTTTCTATTATTATTGTTGAAAGATATCTTGGCAAGAGGATCAGGCTGGAGATTTAGCAGCGACAGATGGAAAATCAAGCACCACCAACTTGTCAATGGCTGCAACAAACGTTGCAGAGAATTCAATATGGCTGGGATGGGTGGTAAACGCAGTGTAATCTTCTTTCTTTTCGAATGTCATCAAGAAGGCATGAGTGAATCCTTCTCTAAGCATCTCTGCACTTTCTATGTCTTGTCCCCTGTTAGAGCGGTTTCAGTTTCATGTATTCAGTTCTTGACATAAACATCCTAATCAAATTTTAAAGGACTAAAACACTTCTACAACGAGAAAGTATTTACTCAATGAAAGGGCATTGAATACAAGCATGCAAAATGATCTAAATTAATGATTAAAAAAAAAACTCACCATTCAAAAGACTTGACCGCATCAACCTCAGAAACCAGCTTTTCCATACCTTTCAAAATCTCTTCCACCACTGCACATTCCTTGAACTTCACAACAACAAGATGCTTAAACCCTGCCATTATTACACACTTAGAAAAGAAAGAAAGAAAGGAAAGCTTTTCAAGCTTTGAGGGTTTATAAAACGTCTGAAGCAGCTAACCCCGGAAAAACCACACAAATTTATACACAAAATCCAAAGTTATTTTGGTGTCAATTTCAACAGTCTCACCCACAAATTTTCACCGTTTGTATTGCCAACCATGACCTAAAGCCTAAAGGGATCAGAGCCCTTTGTTAGACAAGATCTGCATTTCAATATATGGAGAGGTACAGGTTTGCATGGGTGGGGAGACCCACTGGTCAGCCATTTTCTTTGCTGTACCACACGGTAAAAATTGTCCACAGCTCGTTGTCAGCTTTGCCTTGCCTTTTGCTTTTGCACATGAAATGTTGGTCATAACTCATAATAGTTCCATTTCATTTTTCTTTCTTGAAATTTGAGATCTTGCATCACCTGTTTTTCTCTGCCATTATGATCACATGATACGACCTCTTTTCTTTCTCTTTTTTCTTATTTCGCCTAGTTTTCTTGACCATGAACACATACATAATTATACTAGTTTTCATGACCATGAACACATACATAGTTATACTAGTGTTTTTGCCCAACGTAGTTATACTATATCATGCATCTAATTAGTATTAATAAGTTATTACTGATTAATAATTATTGAACACAATAATAAAATATTAAATATGTTATTGTTTTTACTCTTTTAAATTTGAATGATATAAATTTAAACATATTACTTGATCAGTGTCTTTTCCTTGATTGAACTCTTTTTGAACACAATGTCTATTACTTTTCTCCATATCGTTCCCATGTGGCTCCAAGGTTCAAACCTTCACTTCATTGATGACATTTCACCATACTTTATCTTTAAGGAATATTCAGGTTCCCCCACCCCTCTTTTACAAAGTATGATGCAGGATGAAAGGAAAGTTGAGTCATATCAGCTCGCAAAGAAGTGGCTTTCTACAAACTATACTTGATACATACATTTACATGCTGTCTACCTAAAAAAAAGAAACAAACATTTAATATAAAGGAGTTTTTAACTCGAATCAAAAGTGAAATAAAAATATATGGTAAAGCTTGGCTGACCGACATGCCCGCCCTCGTGCAAGGAATAAATGTAAGCACAGAGATGGTGGGGGGCCAATAGACCCAGAATTATAATTACAAAAAGCTGGTACAGTCAAATCTGAGATTCAATTCAAATGCATCGTCATCCCCCATGTACCATCTGAGGTTTGAAAGAGATAGTGGATTCATTCACGACAAATGGGTCTCAACCGTAATGGGTGCCCACTCCCCATGCTCACTCTCTGTAAACCCCCTCCCCCAAATATATATATATATATATATATTTATGTCTACTTTCTTCTTTCCTCGTTTCTTTTAGGTGGTGTAATTTAAAAAAATAATTTCATGATATAACAATAAATATTATTTTAATTTTAAATTATAACTATTAAATTCAATCTTAATAACCTCTTATTAAAATAATAATTGTTACAAAGTTTCGCGAGTCTCCTTAGAAATATATTGATTTAAGATTATCTTCTCAAACTCACTTTATTGTTACATAATATCTGTAATGGACATTTTATATTTTTAAACTCAATTTTTATTTTTTTTAACAATAATCCCAAAGTTAAATTTTAAATTGTATTTTTAATCAGCATTTTGCAAAGTTCTTTTTTCAACCGTACTTTTAAAAATGACTTTTCAAAAATCTTGCTCAACAACCGCAGGTATATAGCGAAGCATAACTGATACCCTAATTTTAAAATTATCATTTTGATTTCCTTTTCTCGCTATTATATTTATTGCATTTCTGCTGCAATTTGAATCATTCGACATTACAACATCAAGGTAACCAGGTCAACATTATTAAATTATTTAGTATAGTCGAACTTCATTTAAGGTGTTTTTTAGTATTTATGTATATTCTTTCTCATATGATATTTCAGATGACGGTTCGTTTCCATTGAATTCTTCTTCTTCTTTTATGAAGATTTGATAAATACATTAAATTAATCTCAAGGTCAGTGGAAATTCCAAAATAAGTTATGGAATAAGCAAGTTAATTAATTTAGCTTCAAAGTAACTACTTCCTAATTATTCATTTGAATTAATATTCATTCCGAATTTGACTTTTCAAATGAAATGTTTATAAGGATCGACAAACGGATAGATAAGGAGTCGTTTCTTAAAATTTTTAAATTTTTATGATTGTAGATATTTTAATTATATTTTCTATTAAAATTTTGTTTTTATCTTTTAATATTTTATTAATTTGTTTCAACATAAAATTATAGCATGAACCAACTTACCTAAGTGCTTAAAGGAATCGTTGTTGTTCCTAGAGGTCATGAGTTCGAGCACCAGCGGTTGCAGCATGGTGATTGAACGTTTATTGTCAAATTGTTGAGAGTATTTAGAACATGTACTACTTTGTAATCACATTAACTTAATAAAAAAAACATAAAATTATATGCAATCCCTAAATGTAAACGAGTCTATTGAATCATGGGCAATTACTAAATCACATAAATTTGATTAATTTTAAAATGTAACATATAATTTCTTATTTTATATGTTTTACATATAAATTTTAATTTAATTCAATTTTTATGAATTTTTATTATTAATATTAAATACTATCATTTTATATTTATATTTATATATTATGTATAGATGATTATAATTATAAAATATAAATATAAATAAATGTATTTATATTTCTAAATGTATATAATTAAATGAAAATTTTATAATCATATGTGAACTATAATCAAAATTATATATATAATTATATAAAATGAAAAATTACGTATAAAATTACATATTAAATTTAAATGGATCAAAATTTTGATACACATGAACTTAAAGAATGTATTTGCACTTTGTTTCTCCTTTCAAAGATGATATATTATATTCAAATACGTGTAGGACTCTTATGGTCATAACGTTGCTAGTAGAAACGCGGATATGTGATGCCTTTTGGGCTACTGGAGTCTGATTTTGGTGGCCCAGAAAACTGCCAATCAAAGGCAATTTTGGCCCAATACCATAGGCGGGCTAATTATTTAGTCCAATATGACATCAGATTTTTTATTCTCGGAACTACAGCATTTACTATAATGACTTATAACTCATCACAAATTTTAATAAAATATATTTTTATTCAAACTTGTAACTCCGACGCGACAAAATTTAATAAAAAAATATATGTTTTACTAGAACTCGTCACTTCGATATGATGAATTTAAATAAGAAATATTATTTTGACAAACTCTTCATGTGGGCATGATGAATTTATCCTATACTGTAACATTTACTGTAGATTTCAAATTATTTTTCGAGATTACCTAATGAGTTAATTTTCCTATTGGGCCAATTTTACTATTGGGCCAATTTTACCGCCAATCAAATGCACGCATACACCGAATCTGTATATAACTATATATTAAAATTGGATACTTACGCCACTTGAAAATGCACAAATACATTGAATGTGTGTGTATAAATTTCAAAATTAATAAACGTTTGAGTTATTATTTAAGTTTTTTTTAAGGTTTGTGTCACTCTCTATAAACTAAATTAAATTTATTTATTTTATTTAATCAACAACGATACTGATTTTGTAATTGGTTAAATTTTTAATAAAAATAACCTTGTGCTTATAATATTTTTTTTCTTACCTTTTATTATAATATTTTTGTCTTTCTTCTCATTCGTTTATCGTTGATATTAAAAATTATAATTCCTTTCTCAATTAAACGTAAGTGTGTAAATATTTTTTAATATAAATTTACAAGTGTCAAACTTAAAATTGTCAACTTTGTAAGAGTTGGTGAACTCCCACTGAGAAAAGATTTGTTGGGCCAAGCGCTGGGATGTAACAAATTGATGTGAATGGAAAGGAGTTGAAGAATTAAAGCAGTTTTTGGTGGGTAAATGATTGGCAATTTGCCGACTAGATTGAAGAAATTAAAAAAAAAAAAAGGTGGTGAAATGGAAACCACATCTTATTTTATTTGTTATAACACTTTCAAATGGACAATATCCTCTGGCTCCATGTTAATTTTAACTTCAAAGCCCATAAATAAATAAAAATGAAGCATAGTGGTTTAATAATTTTCATCATGATTGTAAAACAACTTTCCTTCTTCGGAGACCAAAACTGTCATTTTCTGTGGTTTATTTAATTTCACACACTTAATATTTTATAATTCCGTATTTTTTAATATAATTGTTTAATTTCGTACCCTTAACTTAAATTTTACCTTTGTATCCGGTTATAAGAAAATGGAAGAGGTATTATTATCTTTTCACCCTAGGCAGTTTTATGGTTGCCTCAACTCTGGCTTTATGTACCAGTTTTGCCTTTTATTTTGAACACTGATCTGACCACCTCAATTTAATTTTGTCTGGTTTTTGACAAAACCCATCTTTTGTAAAGGATCACGAAGGAATGCCCAAACAACAGACAAGTTACCAAACTCTGCTTTATCTGTCTGATTCTCGGTTAATGCCCTTGGAAATCAGACCCCCATGGTTACAAATATACGTATCCTTGGGTGGTGCCGGCCAAAGAAATAATGTTACTCCTGAGCCAAAGATTACCGTTTATTTCGCCTGCATCTGATGGTCCAATGAAGAGTCTGAATAAAGGGACTTAACTGGCTAAAATTTTAGTACCATTTCTTGGTAAACTGAACCCCAATTTTGCTTCTATTAATTTCTTGTGGACCACGTATTAATTCCAATGCACCTAGGGGGCCATGGTTACTGTTAAAGAGAGGGATAGGGGTTGGGGGTCCTTGGACGTAATGGACTCCGGTCCTTTGATCACAAAGGGTCTCAAAGATGCCAAAACCAAGCTTTGCTAAAAGCTTGTTCAAACTACTCCGTTGAATTCTTAGATGAAACAAAGAATAGAAAATTTAAAGCAAACCATGAACAAGAGTCTGTTTCTTATATGTTCTTACAGGCACAAATCAACAACGAGAATTCAACTCTATCTTCTTCATCTTTTTGCACCAACTTCTCCTCCAACCAAAGCCGGCTATCCAGTTCACTTCTTGTCCTAAACATGAACACGGCCGAACCGGCGGCTGGATTGAAGAACCAGTCATGCACATCCCACATCAAATCAACTAACAATCCATCGACGAATATTGTCTGGTTTCCTCTGAAATTCCATCGCAGTCTCTTGACCCGAATCACCGTCTTGTCGTCGATCCAGACCGATAAAATCGGATGCTTTAGGCCTTCATGTTCTCCGCTACATCTGATCAAAATGTCATGTGGAATGCCAGTTTCGTTGAATTGAGCCTTTGTGGAATAAAGGGTATTGCCCGAACAATGTTCTTGTCGAGAAACGAGTGAGATTTTAGCGACTGAGATTGTAGTTTTGAGCTTCTTGTTGACTTCATCGTCAGCCATATCACCTACCATAAGGCCTATCTCTGAATCGACCATGACTATGACGTAGAATCCATGAACTGGTTCAGGTCCCGTGTTATACTTCGCAGCTGAAAGATCCCAAAAGATTTCGATGTTTGAGTGATCCGATTCGACCGCTTTGTAGCCTTTCATCTTCCTGAATAACCTCAAATTGGTGTTGAGCTTGAAACACGGTGAAGGGTCATCGTTGAAGTTTATGCTTAGGCTTTGACCGGCTTGATTATTGCACCAAGTGAGTTTGATGAAGAACAGCTTCTGAGTTGAGAGAATGACCTTGTAAATGGCGGCGACTGCGTTCTGGACTGAAGGGACTTGGCTCGAATAGCTGGGACGTGGTGGAGGTTGAGAAACATTTACCGCGTTTTCACTAAAACAAGAAACGATGTCTCTCATGTTGCAGTTAAATAACAAAACATTAAAGATCGGATATATTACATCAAAACTTGGTTTCTTTTGAGGGATTCATGAAAGAGAAAACAAGATCTCAAGATTTTGAGGGATGGGTCTCTCTTTCGCTATGTCATAACCATATATGTGTGTGTGTGAATGTGTTAGAAAACTGGACAAGGTTAGTGCTTTTGAGCTCTCTCTCCCCTGCTTTCGATATTTTAAAAAAAGAATTTTATGTCATGCAAATAACCGGAAGACAGGCAGCAGCAAGGAATTCAGGTTATCTGATTATTAAATATGAATGTATGCATAATTATATGAGACAAATATAGAATATAAAATTAGTTTAGTTTATAATGGGATGCAAAATGTTAATATAAATGTCATACGAATATTTTTAATATATATATCTATATAAATACTTGTTAAAATTTTATATAGATATATAAATCAGCTCGTTAACTTGGCAGTTAACTTTAACATTTACAATAATTTTAAAATATTATTTTTATAAATAATTAGATATTTTAACTGTTTCTAAGACTTTCTTTACACATGCTTAATATGTGGAGTTGAATAATTTTTTGAAAAATAATAGTGACGATCAAATACACAATTTTCTTAAATTAAAGAGCTGTCGTCATATATTTTCTACCAAAAATGTTAGTTACCTCATTTCAAAACACTTCCAAAAGTGAAAAAGAAAAGGAAAGAAAAGTCATCCCAGTGGTTAACTTTTTTTTTTCCGTTACTTGAAAGTCCATTAATTGCCATAGTTTGTGATCCTAAATAACATTTATCATCATTTGGATTATTGATCTGATCATCATTCACTAAAAATGGCCCACGGGCATGAGAGATAAATTTATTATCTTTTCGGGGGGAGGGGGGTTTCCCTTCTTTTTTGGTTTAATTTTCCAGCTTTGTGAGCTTATAGTTCAAGGATTGAACTTTATTCTTCGTTTGGCTTCTAGGAAGAATATATATTCCGAGCTTTTTTCCCTCTTTTTTTTTCACCTTTTGTCACATGAAGCAGTGTTTTAAGCTAAAGCTGTGTTTTCACTTAAAAAGGTAAAGCAGTGAATACCTAATTCTCTCAAAAATATTTGAACATAAAAGATAAAATGCATATATAAGCAGAATTCTTTTAAAAAATATTTGAGCATAAAAGATAATAAAATATTTCTTGTAATTTTTCAAACATAAAATATTTAAAACAAAAGAATTAGCGTCTTTGTTAACACTCAATTTTATTTTTTACAATTTCAAACTTCTATAATTATATACGTACAGAAGTTAAAATGATGATTTCATATACCGAATGAACAATTAATTAAGCAATTATCGTAATTAATTATTCTGTACTATTTGAAAAAAAAATCCACCTCACCCCACTTTATATTCACTTTCTAAAAGAAAAGATTTATCTCCATTCAAAACTTCAATCTTACCTTTCTAACAAATTATCAACTCCAATTAGTGTATCTTTTCACTATCATTAACTTTTAAGGTTTATTAAAATTACAGCTTACAGTAAAAACAACTTTCTTAATAACTTTTCTATAGATCTCTTATTAATTTCAAAATAATTCGATAAATTCTGAACCAAATATACAATAATCTATTGGTTTCAAGGTATCTCATCGTTTAACTTAAAATGGACCATTGTAAAATCTTGTTTCGATTAGTTGTGCGTTGTTTTGTTTATTGAATTGTTCTGGTCAAATCATATTTATGGAATCATTTAACAAATTTAGTTCGGATTAATATAGAGTTGACTACTGTTAAGTTTAGAAACAGCTCGAGCACATGAATATTGGAGCTAGCTTATAAACTTCGCTAATTGACTTTGCAATTGCATACATGCTGTATTACTTCCTGGAAAACCAGAGAGAAGGAAAACTTGGACGAAACCCACTTCGGTTAAACTGAGCCAGCTCATGGATCAATATATGAATCTGATAAATAGTTTGGTACTTTCTCGGAAATTGTTAGACGGTCCATATCAATGAAAATACCTAGAAGTATATGTCCATTTCTTGCATAAATATTTTTTCTCATTCCCATACCTATGTATCTCTTGCTTACTCTGAGACAAGATTTATCAACTTGGTCACGTTTCCTACATGTTCCTGTACGAAAATCCATATTCTCATACAGATTTTCATATCTATGCAGTCGATGCTTCAGATCTTCTGTATAAGTCATCTAAACTCTTTATCATCATCATTATCCCTAACAGTATCATCATCATTATCCCTACAGTGAAATTACTGATAAAGGGAAATATTGTTTTAGAGGACTTGGTTGTGTCTGAAAGGTGTGTATTTATTGTCAATAGATTAAAAAAATTCTAAAAAAATATTATCTTATAGGAAAATAAAAACAAATTCAAGGGGTGAATAGACCTTCATATGCGGGATGATTCATCATCCACTGAACCTCAAGGTAATTCTGCTCACTTTTTCCATATAGGAGGTCTTGATTGTCGCAATATGTATGAACTTAAGCAAAGAGGGCATTGATGCGATTGGGGTAGGACAAGTCTATAATTCAATACTGACATGGGGTTGACGTACTTCACTTTTGCAACTATCCCTATAATAGGTGACCCTTCGTATTTCTTCCCATAATCCACAAAGCTCTTCAAGCCTACTACAAAATGACAAAAACATGAAATAAATTGTCTAGTACCAGGTAAGTCGTGGTTGTAGTAACCTGTCATGCACTTGAGGTGAATCAACAAGAAAGATAATCTCAACCAGCTTTCTTTCAATCCTAATCATTGTTTGTTTGAACATCTACAATCATGTATATCACTATACACTACCTTACAAGGCCACCATAGTAACCCTTCAAGACAGTGAAGCTTCCAAATAAATGACAAAGCTTTAAAATCAATTACACCATCCTCATTTCTCGGAGACAAACATCTAGAGTACAGCATTAGCCAATTTCAAGGAAGTCAAATTCAAATTTCTTTATGTATGGGTGCAATAATACCTGCTGTTTTCTTTAACTGTTCTCAAAATTAGTTTTAACATCTAAGGATGCAAAGAATAGACATAAACAGTAGCAACAGCAATATTTAATTAATTTTTGATGGGCCAATTTGAAGTGTTATCACACTATTCATCAACATAACTGTAACAGTAGTCAAAGAAGGAGCCAGGATGCCGTTCGGTACAAACTTTTAGCAAAGGAAGCATCCAATGACTGTATATTAAAATCATTACAAACTCTGGAGAAGAATTACAAGAGTCGCTTAAAATCGCCATCCAAGTAAAGGTGGGTAAATAAACACATTCAGCAATTGAACAATTAAAAAGTTGAGTTCTGAATTATCAAATGAAGTAAGCAGCATCAATAGATTGAGCCCAAACTCTACAAATGCTTGCCACTAGATGGGACTGAGATAATTAGCAAATCGACCTGTAGTCCGCAAAGACAAATATCATTGATAAAAGTCATACACATAACTTACAACAATTTTCATTGTCTGCAAAATGAATCGAAAACAATGACACTACTTATCATCTAGGCAGAAAAAACATAGATTATCCAACCTTTTACCTTTTTGCTTGTAAGAAATGCTAGCTGTCTACCTTCGACAGCAGTTACCTTAGCAGACCAAAAACTTTCATTTCCCTCACCAGATTAGCAACATGAAGAGATGAAATGCCTCACAATATCAATAAATGTATTGAATAAACCAATAAGGCATCTTCTAGTTTAACCATAATTAAACCAAACGATTAATCCGAAGAACAAATTCTTGAACGCAGTCACGCACTGACCTAGTTACTTCTAAACTGCTAGTAGGCTGAGCTAGTGAGCTTTGGAAAACGACCCATTGTTTTGGAAAAATATAGGGTTTCCTTCTATGAAAACTGCTGGTACATAAGCATGTAAGCAAAAACGGCTACCTAATTCTAAACTCTCGATCGTCTTGTAGGATTTCCAACAGGTACTAGTTACATTGAATGAGAGATGAAGAGCAGTTAAACCAGATGTCAAAACAATTTAGTTTGGAGCTTGAAGTTTCCGGATTAAAATATCTAATCCAATCAAGTCATGTTCACTAAGCAACCAAGATGTATAAAAGAAAGTGCCTAAACCAGAAAAATGTAAGGAAAAAAAAAGAACTGGATATACCTTCAGCACAACTATTGGCATCACGAGGAAGCTTGGAAACAAGGCAAGACGATGCAACCGCGCTGTGAATCGGTTGAAGAGTGCTTACTTCTCGTCGAATCAACCTTCAAGAGAAAACCAAAAATGAAACAACGAACTCATACAGGAAGGGTAAAAGTAAAACCCCATTATTCTATTAACCAATAAACATAAAAGAAAAAAGACAAGTACCGAGAAGGAGATGGAGGAGAAGTCCGGGTCTGATGAAGAATGAAATTGGATCGAACTGAAAATGGGATTTTGGTTCTTGTAGTTGTGGCTGCTGTTCGGAACACTGGACGAAGAAAAGATCTTGATGCAATTGCAGCTGCCATTTCTGATTTCTTTCCTCTCAATTGGAGTTTGGAACCCAGATAACATGAAAAGCCTCTGCAAAACCCCGGCCCCTAGTAAACCAGTGAGTTTGGTTCATGGGGCTTGGTTTAACACAAGTCCACCAAAGTAAGCCCATTAGATTCTAATAGAAGTAGACTCCTAGTATTCATTTCTTTTTGGGCCTATACTTTATCCCCTTCGGATATGATAATATTGTAATTATATTATTTGTTTCATGGTGGAATCAGCCGCTTGGAAAGGTGGAATATTTTCACCTCGGCAGCTACGTAACCGGACTTTTCAAAGTCGTTTTTATTTGTATTTTAATCAACACGGTGATTTTGACATAATTTCGCTTTGTTATTTACCTACATTTCCACATTAATGCATTTTCCTAGTAAAACAGCAAAGGCCCTAACATACAAGGGTCAAACATCTGACAGTCTCTAAATAATATTATTAGCTTCTGGAATGAGTAACTAAAAGTAACAAACCTGGACTTAGAACAAGAAACTAATGGTCCTTGAAATATAATTTATTCAGTCCTGCCTTGAGTTGAATAGCTATAGAGATCAGCTGTATCTGCATTAACACGGATCTTAGGCTTAGTTTGTTTTCACTGTGAAACCTCTTCGAACCTCTTATGTCTGTGCCGCGCAGACTACGCGCAGACATTAGGCTTCGCAGACCGTTTGTTTTTAGAAGACAGAAGATCTTCAAACGTCTGCACGAGCTCTTCTTGGTGCATACATGATTTTATGTCTTCAAAGGTCTGCAGGAAAATTAAAATCAATTAAATCTATTTTAAAATTTATTTTAAAATATATATTTATTTATTTTAAAATATAGATTGATTTATTTTAAAATATGAAAAAAAAATATTTTAAAATATAGATTGATTTATTTTAAAATATGGATTGATTTATTTTAAAATATGGATTGATTTATTTTAAAATATGAATTGATTTATTTTAAAATATGAAAAAAATTATTTTAAAATATAGATTGATTTATTTTAAAATATGGATTGATTTATTTTAAAATATGGATTGATTTATTTTAAAATATGGATTGATTTATTTTAAAATATGGATTGATTTATTTTAAAATATGGATTGATTTATTTTAAAATATGGATTGATTTATTTTAAAATAGGGATTGATTTATTTTAAAATATGGATTGATTTATTTTAAAATATGGATTGATTTATTTTAAAATATGGATTGATTTATTTTAAAATATTAATTGATTTTTTTAAAAAAAAAATCATTATTGTAGTTGTATGATTATTTAAATTTCAGTATTATAAAATTAAAATTATTTAAATTTCAGTATTGCAAAACTCTTTTAAGTTTAAAAAATCAGTTTATTTTATATTTCAGTTTATTTTAGCAGTCTGCAGACGTTAAAAAAACAAACAGTCTTCTTCTTGCAGACTTTTGGTCTACCTCTTCTGCTGCATATGTCTGCAGATGTGGTCCGCAGACTGCAGACCTTTTACCTTTTCAGAAACAAACACCACCTTAGTCATCTTGAAAAATAGAAAATATAATGGTTTTTGAAGCATGAATATAAGGGCACAAAATAAATGTTGGATAAGGTTTGTTTTCTGCAATAAAACTGATAATTTTAGCGAATTTTATGTGAAATAATTATGTTGTTTAATCGTTATTTAAAACTTCAATAAAGTTTTTCGTGTTATTATTTTAAATCGAAATTAATTATTTTCCTCTCTTGAGAGATCAAATTTAATTTTTGAATTTTAAATATTAGAATATAACTTTACCATTTTAATAACTAATAATATTTGTTAATCATACAATAATCTTAGCATTTTTTATGAGTAAACTACGTTAGATCCCACCAAACTTTAAACCTTGACTCGTTTATACTACTAAACTTTCAATTGTCAATTTTAGCATTAATGTTTAGTTTTGTGTTCAATTATGTCACTCCGTTGTTAATGACTTAATGGGACGATGACATGACATTCACGTGTCATGACGTTGCTAACATGGTTGCCTCATCAAAATGATGTCATTTTGGCTCGACTATTTTGATGCTTAAAAAGCCCAAAATGACGGAGTGACATAATTGAACGTAAAACTAAATGTTAGTGCTAAAATTGAAAGAATTAAAGGTTTGGTAGTATAAACGAGTCGACGTTTAAAGTTTAGTGATATTTAGTGTAATTTACCCTTTTTATCTAGAACACTTAGGTGGTGTTTGTTTTCACTGTGTAAGCTCTTCAAACCACTTATGTCTGCGTCGCGCAGACATTAACCTTCGCAGACTGTTTGTTTTTTAGAAGACAGAAGCTCTTTAAACGTCTGCGCGAGCTCTTCTTGGTGCAAACATGGTTTTATGTCTTTAAAGGTATTCAAACCTCTTCAAGAACAATTATAAAATATAGTTATTTATTAAAATAATTTTAATAATTTAATAAGGTTATTATTTTAAAATAATTTATTAAAATATGGATTGATTTATTTTTAAATAATTATTTTAAATAATTTATTAGTATGGATTGATTTATTTAAAAATAGATTGATTTTTTAAATAATTATTAGTATGGATTGATTTATTTTAAAATGGATTGATATTTTAAATAATTTATTAGTAGGATTGATTATTTTAAAATTAGATGTTATTATGTAGTTGTATGGATTGATTTATTTTAAATAATTTATTAGTATGAATTGATTATTTTAAAATATGGATTGATTATTATTGTAGTTGTATGGATTGATTATTTAAATAATTAGTATGTATTGATATTTAAAATATGGATTGATTTATTTTAAATAATTTATTAGTATGCATTGATTTATTTTAAATAATTTATTAGTATGTATTGATTTATTTTAAATAATTTATTAGTATGGATTGATTATTTTAAAATATGGATTGATTTATTATTGTAGTTATATGAATTGATTTATTTTAAATAATTTATTAGTATAGATTGATTTATTTTAAAATATGGATTGATTTATTTTAAATAATTTATTAGTATGGATTGATTTATTTTAAATAATTTATTAGTATAGATTGATTTATTTTAAATAATTTATTAGTATGGATTGATTTATTTTAAATAATTTATTTGTATGGATTGATTTATTTTAAAATATATATTGATTTATTATTTTTAGTTGTATGGATTGATTTATTTTAAATAATTTATTAGTATGGATTGATTTATTTTAAAATATGGATTGATTTATTTTAAATAATTTATTATTGTAGTTGTATGGATTGTTTAAATTTCAGTATTGTAAAACTAAAATTATTTAAATCTCAGTATTGCAAAACTCTTTTAAGTTTAAAAAATCAGTTTATTTATATTTCAGTTCATTTTAGCAGTCTGCATACGTTAAAAAATAAACAGTCTTCTTCTTGCAGACTGCAGACTTTTGGTTCACCTCTTCTGCTGCAGATGCCTGCAGATATGGTCCGCAGATTGCAGACCTTTTAACTCTGCAAAAACAAACACCACCTTAGTAAGGGATGGGCACTGGGCAAGGTGGGTTGGTTTTTTGGCCTCCTCGAACCGAAAATATAAAACTTATACCTGATCTCGTTCCGCCTCGATGAATTTTAGGTTTTTCCCACCCGGAACCTATCCCGATTTTTAGACTACAATCTCGATCCCAACCTGACTCTATCTGAATAAATTAATATTTTAAAATAATTAAAATAGCATATTTTATAATAATATGTTTATAATTATTTATTATATTTTAAACTATTAAAATAACATTTGATAATAATTTTTATACTTTTAATAATTTTATAATATATTTTAATAATATAAAATATAAAATTTTAAAGTATTAAATAATATATATATAAACCGGGTTGGATCGATATATTTTTTTAACTTAAACCGGTTCCGCTGCACCTCAAAATTATACTCAATAAAATTCGTCTCATTCGGAACTTCGAAATTTTAAAAAGAAACCGCTCTTATAAGATTAGGTCGGATAAAAAAACATTCACATTCGGATATTTTAACCATCCCTCACTCAGTCACTCGAGTTTTTCTTTCCCGAAAGGTGAATCCTCACTTGCGTTATCTATATGCATTCTTTCAATATTCTATATATATATATATATATATATATATTGCGATCTTGAAATTAAAGGCAGACTGTTCATAAAAAAGTTCAGATATGGTTAATGCTAAAGGATAATAGTTTTCCCTGTAAAAGAAAACGGAAAGATCGCCACACAAAACAAGCTTTCAAGAGAAAAAGGACACCTTGTTAAAACAAGACACGAGAAACGTCTCAAGCAAAGGCCGTAAGGCGTAAACAGGGTGACCACTGTTATTCTCATTTGTTACTCACGTGACAAAACCATTTTCACCCTCCAATAATGTCTGGCCACGTGTGCATAAAACTGCCAAGGGATACGCCACGTCACTAAAACACCGGGGATATCCATTTCGTTCCTTTTGTTTTTTTCTTTTTTATATTACTTCATAGCTATAGAAACATAAATGCTAATATTAATTACCGAAAGATTATCGGCCATGCTTTAGCCTCTTTTTTAATTGGTGCGTGTCTCGCTCTTACTTCTCATTTATACTCCCTATTCATTTTTCTGGGAGAATTTTAGAAAAAGCCTTGTGAGATGTGAAAGGAAGGGGAAATTTTGAGGATCTTTTGTTTTGGCTCCAAAAATGGCTTCTCTGTATTGCGATAATCAGGAAAGAGGTTCTTGTTTTACTAACGCACGCTATGGAAGATCGTGTTCCAAAGCTCAAGCTTGTCTCAAAAAGATTCTTCATTTAATTTCAAGTGTCCCACCGTCCTGTGAAAATAACACGAACCCTTGTAAGAAGAGAGGGTTTGATATTGATCTGAACTTAACATTAGGTTCTTTTCTCGACGGCGGTGATGAGAGTGAAGAAAAATCTGACTGTGTAGCTGAAAACAGCTTCATTGAAGACAAAACAGCCACGGCCACGGCGACGGATGCTTCTTCTGATGTCACAAATGTTCAAAAAAAGCAAAGAGCTCAAGAGCAGCAGCCACGGTGAGTTAAAACGGCGACGAACACGAACCCTTGTAAGAAGAGAGGGTTTGATATTGATCTGAACTTAACATTAGGTTCTTTTCTCGACGGCGGTGATGAGAGTGAAGAAAAATCTGACTGTGTAGCTGAAAACAGCTTCATTGAAGACAAAACAGCCACGGCCACGGCGACGGATGCTTCTTCTGATGTCACAAATGTTCAAAAAAGCAAAGAGCTCAAGAGCAGCAGCCACGGTGAAGTTAAAACGGCGACGTCGGAGACGGCCGCGTTATATGATTCATTGGGTTTGCTACTAGAAGCGGCGGAGATGATTGCATACGGGGATTTTTGTATGAACGGAAAAGAAAAGGAAGTCGAGGAGGCAGAAAAAAGTGGCTGCGGCATGTCAATGGAAAGGGATAAAGACAGATCGGTTAACGTTAAAGAAGACGGGTTCGAAGAAATTGAGGATATGGCGCCGCCGGTGGTTCGATCAAAGCGAGGGCGGAATCAGGTTTTGCCAGTCAGGTATAGGGACTCGGTTTTGGAGCCGTGGACGAAGCGACCAAAGATATCAACAGCGACACCAGCTGCCGCAGTGGTTTCGAAGAAGAAACGAAAGCCGAGGTAAAATAATCAATTAAGAAAGAAAAAATGATACTAGTAAAAGTGAAATTCCTTTTTACTGTTTGCGTGTTTGAACTTAGAAGGGCCTTTTATTGGAGTTACTGTGAAGTAGAAAAAACGAGCTTAGAAGTATGTATTGTTACCGTTTTGAATGAAAGTTATTCATTGCTCTAAAATACTGCAAGAAATTGTCGAGGCAGGGATCTTAATTAAACAAACACCCGAATTAGAACGACGTCGTGCTGAAGTCCATCCCGAAGACTAGGAGAGAACAGCACAGTGCAGTGATACTGATAACGATTGGTCATCAGGTGCGACTATATATTTGATCGTTATTTCGTTCTTATATTAAACATATTATTGGTGTAGTGCTATTTTAAGTTTTTAATCTAAATATTTGTTAAATTTTTTTTTCGTTTTAATGTAAATATTTAATATTATTAACATAGAATTATTTACTGCCCTTAAGTTTTACTTCTAGAAGGAAGCTCCGTCTCTAATCTTAACCGAGTCTAGTTATTTCGTATCTAATAAACTTCATTGTATTCCTATGACATACATGATACATTTATATGTTCACATACATTTGAAATTATTTAAATTATTAATATCTAATTTCCATTGTTTTTCAATATCAATGAATATAATTAATAGAGAATAGAGCAAAGCCTATAATTAATAATGTTTCGTTGCCTAATTTAACATATTTTATTTTTTGCACGAAACCAACAGATATATTTCTCGTACCCAATTGTTCTAAGAAATTGGTTATAGTTATATTATAAAAATTATTTTAAAAATTATTATTTCATATATTGATTATAAAAAAAATATTTTCTAAACAAAATTGCAGTGTTACCATATTTCCTTACACGATGGTATACAAAGTCTGATATATGTATTGGGCTTTGGGGCCTCTAATATTATCATTTTATTGATGTTGCATGCGTTGATATTGAAATTTGTATTTTATGCAACCTTTGATATATTTAGTTTAAAAATAGTTTGTCGAATTTAAAAGTTGGTATAAATTTAAGAATTAAAATAAGAATCAAACTGCATCATATGTGCCTAAACTAAAAAAAACATATAATAATAAAAGTTGGCCTACCAATTTTATTAACAATGGATGTGATTAGTATATATGTATAATTTGAGATGAAATTGGATTTGTTAATTCACAAATTAACCAATTTAGCTTTTCCGAGTCACACTCGAATTCAAATTGTACCTTATTAAGGATTTTTCGATTTGAAAGCATTATTATTTAAATTTTATTATTGATATCCATAAAAAAAAAAGTATTTTCCAAAAACTTTCAATCAAATAATATTAAAATGTGTATCTCACAAAATCAAAGTTAAAAAACTGACTTTTAAAAAATAATAATGAATAAATTTAATGAGACGGAAGGGGTAATTTTTTTTTTGCAAGAGTTCAGGTATTAGGAGTTAAGACAGGAATATGGAAAGATCATAAATCAGGTGGCACCGGTAAGATCGAGGATGAGCTATTAGCACGATGATTTTGCTCTTAAATTTGTGATTCTTAGTACACTAAAGACCTAACATTGAAAACGTAGCAAAATTAGACCAATAGATACAGAAGACAAATCTCAAAACTTGAACAAGATTGATTCTATAGTTTGAATCACTTTAAATAATATTATAGGGGAATAGACATTTCTATAGAAACAAGTACTTCTATGCAGATCAGAACTTCCCATTAAATAAAAACATAAACATTTCATTTTAATTTTAAGACAACCCATGAATACAAATAAGACAAGAATTGATGCAAACATACCAACCTAAAACGTAATATTAATCTAAAGTTTCGAATCAAGGAAAAACACCACGCATAAGTCTTCTTAAACCTTAAACTCCTCATTAACCAAGTCTACCAAAACGAGACAAAAGATGTCTATCCCCCAAAATTAAACATGCACATTAGAGCACATAAACCCGACCTCATTTGCCTCCATGCTTGGCCTTCTTGTGAGAATCTAAACCACCCTCGGACCCAAAAGACCTGTCCACAGAACACCAAGGGAGTTAATTAAGAAACCAACTAAATCAAAATAGGAAGCAAGTTGCAAAGTGACAAGATAATGTACTTGTTACAAGAACCACAAGAGAATTGACCATCAGACTTTGGAGTCTTTGCAGCATTTTTCCCAGCCAGCTTTGCTGGGTGCGGCGTTGCTGTGTGACCGCCCTTCTTACCATCTACCGTTGTAAACAACAATAATCACGAAATAGTAAAGAAACTAACAGGCCAATCACGATTAAAAATATGTAGAAGAAATATGAAGTGGCAGAAAAGATATATGAAACTGAGGAATTTAGAGGGAACTGCAAGATGACCTGTCTTCTGAGGAGTAACTGCAGATTTAGCCTTTTTTGAAGCAGGTGTTGCAGGTTCAGCAGGCCTCTTCTTGCTTGACTCAACCTTGGAAAGAAAAAAGCCACAAGTTACAATTATGAAATCAGGTCAGCTTCAACAATTCAAAAAATAATTAGATGTCTACCAAAGATACCTTCTTTGGTGTTTCTTCATCCTCATCGTCTGAACTACCATCCTCAGACATCTGTTCACACACCAATCACACCACATATCAGAATCAGAACCAAAGACCACTCAGAATACATAAAAATAAGGAGGCACTCATTACAAAAATAATGAATTAAATTTCAAGGGAAGTTATTAAAAGAAACCTCATCAGAATCATCTTCATCCTCAGAATCCTCCTCCTCCTCAGTTTTCTTACTAGGTTCAGCTATCTTCACAGCTGGTTTAGCGGGCTCTGGTTTCGAAGCATTAGCCTTGGCTGTTTTTGCATCTGCCTTTGCTTTTCCTATGATGTAAAAAAACGTTAAACAGAAGAAATAAGAAATAATCAAATCTCCAACCATTGATGTAAATATGGGTACAGAAAGAAAGATTACCATTTTCAGCAGCAACAAGAGGAAGCTCCTCCTCCTCATCACTATTTACTTCATCACCAGACATATCTGCAAATAAGAACAAACACATGAGAAATACTTCATGAAAATGAAAGAAAGCATGTAGGACAACTATATTCAAGGCCTCACCTAAATCATCAGTGGCGACAGAAAAGAACACAAGAGTCAAGAAAGAACAAGATTGAAGAGGGACACTTCATGTTCATTTAAAAACAAAAACAAGGTAATTGAAACAAGTATACAAAATGCCAATTAATAAAAGGATATCCTTCCTCCGGAACATAAGTTTTGTACCCAAGAAAATAGACACTCCCATTCTTCCAGTTGTGAGAGAGCTCAAACTCTTGGTCAAATACTAGATCAAAAGATAATTGTGGGAAATTATGGTGGGAAAGTGTTCCAAGAACAAGTTTTTTCCCATCAGTATTCACATAGAGCGGAACAGATTCTCCCTTGTTCTTTGACTCACCAAGTGATGCCTGAAACACAAGCAGTACTAAAAAATAAATCGATCATATATACTAATATCAACTTGTTTATCTAAATAATTCCAAACCTGGGACAGATGTATGACATAACCAGCACCAGGGTCGGCTTTAATAGACTGTCCGGCCTTAACTTCAATACCTGATTGTAAGATAAAAAGATGATTAAATCTATTACTCCAAACTAAAAACAAAAACTGAATATCCGCAAGTGTATGAATCAGGTCTTTAAACGTTACACATAAATCGGAAGTAAATTATCACACTCAACAAGATTTCATTCAATGAGCACAGTATCAAGTTAAACCGTAATATTGTAACCATCATCAGTCTTATTAATTATTTAATAAAACCTCACAGACAATGTATCAAATAATAATTCTTACACTAATAATATGTATAAGACTCACTCAAAGCAAGCCAGATATATGCATTTACGTAGAAAAATAAGAGTTCAAATCAAAGAAAAAACTAATATCATCTTAGTATAAGAAAAGGGGGAAAGGTCAAACTTCCCAGAAAAAGTTCTGTTAAATATTAAAAACAGGAGAAGCGTAAAACGAAATAGATTAGAATAAGGAAGAGACTAACCAATAACAGAAAAATAGAAGCAAAAGCTCAAGAGGAAAAGAAGAATAACTTACCCCAGAACTCCATAGAAGAGGCTTCAGTTTTTGGGAAGAGATATCTAGGGTATGCTATATTAGGATTAGAGTACAACTCTTCCTGAAGAGGCGCAAATGACCGATGGAGTTGAGACGAATTTATAAGTAAGATGCCGCCCAATTGTGTTTATTCTACTTTTAGGGTTTCTTTTTTGGGGATTCTTTGGTTTGGGAGGGTTTATCGTTTGAACTTTAGCCCAATTCATTTGGACTTTAAATGACGCAAGCTTCGGCCTATATTTTTAATTAACCTCCTCAGTGTTTTAATAGTGCATTGTAAAACTAAAAAACGCCCATAACGACATCTTATAAAATTTGGATACTAAATTTCACTATATATTACCAACTAATTAAGCTATTTTAAAATATTTTTTATAATTATTCATAATTAATTAATTAATTCGAACAAAATATTGAACATGTTTATTATGAACATAATATGTCAAACTTAACTTGTTTTATTGGCAATTTTAAAATCCAAATATACAATGAGGTTTGAATAATAAAAATTAAATGAAGTTTGACACCATATATCTTAGAGTTTAAATAGTAAAAATAAGATAAAAATTGGATCTTAAAAGAATCAGACTTAAAAGTTGGATTTATTAATGGAACAAACTTGAAAAATAAAAATATTTTTTACATTACACTGATCTTGATACATATGTGTAGACACACTTTCGTCCGGACAAAAACTATATATATATATATATTATACTTATTATTATTATTATTATTATTATTTATTAATACTATATTACATATGTTGTGCAGGCCTAACTATAACCTGAGACCCAACACTCATCCCAATCCAATTAATTCAAACCTAGCAGACTCGACCCAGTAACAGGCCCAAAGAGAGGTCCAGAAACTGGCCACTTGACAATCCTAAAATAATTAGGGTTTCTTCATCCAGTCGTTGCCTCATTTCAGCCCTTGGATATGGACATTTCTAATGATCCAGATCGCGTCAAAGATTAGGGTTCCAAAACCCTAAGGCCCCTACTCCAACACTGCTCCAACCGGCCAAACCGAGAGTCCTCACATTCGTTCCAGCCGCTTCTAACAACCTGGAATTCCGGCACCAACTCAAAACAGAAAAACAACCAAGTCAGAAATTTCAGTCCTAACGGGAGTCTAAAACCGGATTGAAATCCAGCACTATAAATACACATGTAAGGGGGGAAACGGAAGAGATTACGAGGAGAAAAATACACACAAACATTCGAAAGAAACTACACAAG